CTAAGTCTCTGGCCAGCGGCTTAGTAAACGGATCAGCCAAATTATAGCTTGTTCGTATATACGTAAGTGAAATGATTCCATCCTTAATCAGTTTTCTTACGAACGAATGTCTAAGTCCTATATGCCTGGACTTTCCATTATACACTTCGCTAAATGCTCTTGCCAAAGTGGCCTGACTATCGCAGTGTATCATTACCTTTGAAACATTGTCTTTAGCCAATGGAACTTCCAAAAGAAGATCCCTCAACCACTCTGCCTCTTGACTAGCGGAAGCGAGAGCCACGAATTCTGATTCCATGGTCGAAAGAGTAATGCATGTTTGTTTCTTGCTCTTCCAGGAAATTGCTCCTCCAGCTAGTGTAAATATCCACCCAGTTGTAGATTTGTGATTTCCCACGTCAGAGATCCAACTGGCATCGGTATATCCTTCTAGTATAGCAGGAAACCTACCATAATGAAGACCAAGATCTTTGGTTTTCAACAAATAACCAAATATCCTCGTGATTGCCTTCCAATGTTCATTACTTGGATTACTAGTAAATCTACTCATTTTACTAACTGCAAATGATATATCGGGTCTAGTACATTGCATTAAGTACATAAGACATCCGATCGCACTTGCATATTCTAATTGAGCCACTGCTCTTCCATCATTCTTTTCAAGTTTGATTACATGATCAAATGGAGTAGTTACTTCCTTGAATTTCAGGTGTTTGAACTTATCAAGCATTTTCTCAATATAATGTGTTTGATTAAGTTCATAACCCCCACTATTTTGCTTAACTTTTATTCCTAAAATTGTGTCAACAAGCCCAAGATCTTTCATCTTGAAAGTGGAAGTTAGAAACCTTTTTGTTTCTAGAATTCCATTAAGTCTATTGCTAATTATTAGCATGTCATCAACATAAAGACACAAAAATATTACAGTGTTATTATACACTTTTGTATATAAACACTTGTCACAAGAATTAGGAATAAATCCATTTGACATTATCGTAGAGTCAAACTTTTGATGCCATTGTTTTGGTGCTTGTTTTAAGCCATATAGAGATTTGACAAGTTTGCACACCTTCTGTTCATTTCCAGGAAGGACGTGTCCTTCTGGTTGTTCCATGTAGATTTCCTCATCGAGGTCTCCGTTTAGGAATGCTGTTTTAACATCCATTTGATGAACAATCAGATCATTTAAAGATGCTAAAGCAAACAACAACCTTATAGTGGTTGTTCTCGCTACAGGTGCATAAGTGTCAAAATAATCTATACCTTCCTTTTGTCTAAATCCTTTTGCCACTAATCTTGCTTTATAAGTGTTTAATGTACCATCACTATGATATTTCTTTTAAACACCCACTTGCATCCAATGGGTCTTGATCCCTTTGGTAAATCAACAAGTTCCCAAGTGTGGTTGGACATAATTGAATCCATTTCATCTCGGATAGCATCTTTCCAAAAAGAGGAGTCTCTTGAAGCTATTGCTTCCTTATAAGTTTTAGGATCTTCCCCTACTTGAAGAATTACCGGAATGCTTTTAATAAAATTTGTATTATTTCCTTCAACCAGATAAAATGAAATGGATTGAGAATCAATTTCGTCTGGTCCTAGGTTCTTTATTTTCCGGACTCTTTTGCTTATCCTAGGTTCGGGTCGTGGTTCATTTATTCGAGATGTGTCTTCAGGTTGTATTTCTACAATCCGAGAAGAGTCCTTTTCACAAGATTCTTTGTTTATGGCCGACTCTGATTCTTTATCCTTAGTTATAAGGTTTTCAAAGAATTCTACATCCCGGGATTCAACAATAATATTAGACTCTAAATTTAACAGTCTATATGCTTTGCTATTTTGTGCATATCCTACAAATGCACATCTTATCCCTCGAGGACCCAACTTGGTTCTCTTAGGATCCATGTTTTTGTAATATGCCACACACCCCCACACCTTAAAGTAGCCAATATTTGGTGTCATGCCCTTCCATACCTCATATGGAGAAATTCCACTTTTCTTTAAGGGAATTCTATTTATTATGTGACAAGCGGATAATAAAGCTTCGCCCCACAAATTGAAAGGTAGTTCGGAATGCAATAACATGGCATTCATCATTTCTTGATATGTTCGATTCTTTCTTTCTGCTATGCCATTTTGTTGTGGTGTTCTAGGTGCCGAACATTCATGTATTATACCATGTTCTTCACAAAATGCATCAAATTCAGTGGAGAAGTATTCACCGCCCCTATCACTCCTAAGAACTTTTATACTTCTACTTAATTGATTTTCCACTTCTGCTTTGTAACTCTTAAAGGCATTAAAAGCCTCATCTTTATGCTTTAAGATATATACATAAGTGTATCTAGAGCAATCATCAATAAATGTAATGAAATATCTATTTCCCCCACGGGTCAACATGCCATTAAATTCGCACAAATCTGAATGTACAAGATCAAGCAGATTTGTATTTCTTTCAACACTTTTGAAAGGTTTCTTAATCATTTTTGATTTAACACATAATTCACATTTATTGAAATCTTTGATATTACATGATATCAAGCCAAGTTTAATTAGTCTCTTCATTGAACTAATACCAATATGTGCTAATCTATTGTGCCATAAAGTAACTGAATCAAGCATGTAAGCAGAATTAGAAATTTCATTAATCATGTTATCAGTAATACATAGTTTGATCATTCCTTCAGCGGAATATCCTTTTCCAACAAACACACTATTACGGGTCAAGATAAGTTTGCCCGATTCATACACAGATTTAATACCCGGTTTTCCCAATAAATCCCCACTAACAAGATTCCTATTCATGTCTGGGACATGAAGCACATTAACAAGAGTAACTTTCTTTCCAGAAGTGAAGTTGAGTTCGACCGTTCCGGTTCCAACAACTTTGGATCGCACTTCATTTCCCATTTGTACTTCTTGTCCATCATTTGCCTCAGAATATGTTTTGAATGCAGCCCTGTCATATGAGACATGAACCGTGGCACATGTATCATACCACCAGCCTTGGACCTTGCCTTTGATTGCCATAATTTCGCTCACAGTAGCAATTATATCATCATTAGCATTCACTGCATTGATCTCCTTTTTTGATTTATTATGCCTGCAATCTCGAGCATAATGTCCAGGTTTTCCACATACAAAGCATCCATTTTTCGGACCCTTCGGACCACCGAAGTTCTTGAACTTGGTATGTTCCTTTTTTGGTGCGATGTGACTTTTCTTGACATCATGTTTTTTCTTTTCCTTTCTGGTCACAACATTGGCTTTGGAAAGACCCGCAGATTCTGATTTTTCCCTCTCCTTCGATTCCTCCTCGATTCGAAGATGCTTCTGGATTTTCTCCAAGGAAAAGTCATCAGAACTGTGCAACAGTTTCTTTTTATAGCCTTTCCACGAACTTGGTAATTTCGCAATGATTGCACCAACTTGAAAGGTTTCAGGAATGTCTATTTTCACCGCTTTGATTTTGTTCACCAGGACTTGCAATTCATGCACTTGAGGAAGTATGGGCTTGGAATCTATAAATTTAAAATCAAAGTATTTAGAAATTAAGAACTTTTTCGTACCTTCTTCTTCGGCTTTGAATTTAAACTCCAGGGAATTCCATATGTCTCTAGCGGACGGATTGTCTGTGTATAAGTCGTATAGGCGGTCAGATAGCGTATTCAGAATATGCCCACGGCATAGTAATTCGTCCTCCCTTCGCAGCATGCGCTTCTTCTTGAGTTCGTCAGAATCATCTGCAGTTGGTTCTGGAATTGGTGTCAGATTGGGATCCAAGACGTAGTGAACCTTGAGTGCAGTAAGCAGGAACGTCATCTTGTCTTGCCATCTGGTAAAGTTGTTTCCATCGAAACGATCCAATTTGACAAGGTCCTGATTCATAACTTTGATACTTGAAACAGCAGCGTCGGAATCCATGATAGAAATACTTTTAAGAATGTTAGATAATTCTTCTATGTCGAATGGATCCAGACTGAATCGTGAACGAAATCACTTTCCTTAAAAGTATTTCAAGCACACTCTCAGATTGTCTTAGAGTTGGAACGGCCTGAATACCCAGGATAAGTCAGCCTTTTTCTCGAAACTGCACAAGACTGATGAAGTTTCGAATGCAAGGAAAATGTTGGAATTATATGGAAGAGGATTTCAGAATTTGGAGTGAATGATTTCGAATTATGAAGCATATATTTATAGCCATGCATGTGTCTTTTCAGAAGGTTGCAATTCTTCATAAACACACTCTCTAATGAGCATTTGCAATGGTTCACATAAAATATCATGCACCACTTCGTCAAGTGTCATGTATTTCAAATTCAAATTCAAAATCAAACTCTAGGCAGCGAATAAGTCTGAGCGATAATTAAAAATTAAATTCGCAGTATACCGGCCGAAGGCCGGTCCGCCCGCCGGAGGCGGCCGGAGCGCCACCGGCGCCGCCTCATTAACGCCGCGAATAGCCCGATTGCTCCGATGCGTCGTGCCTAAGTGCTCAAGTGCCGTCTACAAGCCGCCACTAGCGCCTCTACGCCCACGCCCCCGGTTCCGGTTCCGGTTCCAGAGCCGGAGCCGGAGCCGGAGCCGGAGCCGGTGTCGCCGGTGGCGACACCGGCGAGGGGTGTTTTGTATGAGACAAGTGACATAAGTTTTGGCACCACCACATGTGACTATGTGGCACTTTATCCTTTTTGGCTCTTTTGGAAATTACATTGTTCCAAGTGCCTTATAAATGTTATTTAATTTTACTCTCTTCCAATGTGGGACTAAGCATTTATTATAACACCCACTTTGTCATTTTGGAACAACTTTAATGGAAATAAATTATTATTTCCAACAGCCTACACGTGCAGTACACACTATATGGTCAAAATGTAGGGCCCTTGCACCAGAACCTCATTCCTCGTATCCTTTTTTTTTTCGCGCACCATGATCTTCCATCATTGGGTTTCCATAGAAACCCCCTCACACCGCGGTTTCCATCCAAGTGACCCAACCTTTCAGAACAAACTTGCAACACATACTTCATCTTTCTGCAGCAAAAGAAGAAAAACCAAAAACAACATACCCGACAAGTTATGGCAAACGATGGAATTCGTCCTATGCACCATACACCGCCATGATGTTTTGAAAACAAATAGCTTTGCACAACTTTCTAAAGTGCTGCAAAAAAATGAAAGCAATACGCACCTGCAAAGCATAACCGTACGATTCAATTAACACAAACACCAACCTGTTAATGTGCACAAAATGACAATCAAAATCACTAACCATTTCACAATATATTGACCCCACATTAACTCAACAACAACCATATTCACCAAAAAATTTACGGTAGACATCACGAAATCTCCAATATAAATACGGATCGTTTTCACTATTCTGGGTATTTAATTTAAAAGCCATCAAAACGCCTCGAAATTCTTTTTTAACCTCAATGCAAACCCATTCCTCTCGTCTCCTTCAAACCTTTAACAACCGTTATAATGACCCAAACCTTCAATCATTAAACCTCCTTGTACAAGACGAAACCTGTGAAGCAGATCGACAGAGGAACAATTTGTGTGAGATGCAGAAGAAGGTTGAGGACAAAAGAATACGTTGATGTTTTGTTTTGAGGATAGTGTTTGATCATTTTTTGAGATTAATGCTTCTCCTTCTTTTACTCGTTTTTTATTTTAAAGGAAAGGGAAGGATTTCGTGATAACCATTGCCGTTTTGTTGGATGTGAACAAGCTCTTGAGTTGTGCTTTAAGACCTAGTAATGAGCTGCCAAAACGCTTGCGGGTTTGGGTTTTTTTCGGACCGGGCCTAAAAGTTTTACCACATACCCCTACAATTATACCCATACTCCTACACTAAAATTTTTTGGATCAAAATATCCTCGTATAAAAATTTATAATTTTTTTCATTTGTTCACCAGTTCATATTTTTTTCTTTTGTTCACCGGAAGACTTTTTGGAAATCTTCCGGTATATATTTTTTCGTTTGTTCACCGGAAGACTTCCAAAAAGTCTTCCGGTTCATGTTTATTTTAAATTTTTAGTTAATATTTAAGATTTATTAATTTTATATAAAGACCGATTAAGTAAATTTTTGTCTATTATAATTAATATATAAAAATTTTATAAATAGAGAATCATTTTCATAATATTTTCTATTTGCTATAATTATTATAATACTATGAGATTAAAATCATTTATTTTAAATGATCATAATCCTAAAATTTTCTCAAACATCTTATTAATCTTAAAAATTAATAAATAAAATAAATTTAAATATAGGATATAAGTTTACATTATTCAATATATTTAATCAAATGAAAACATATGTGATAAATCAATAATGTATTTTAACTTAAAATGATCACAATAAGTTAACTTGCAAAATAATATAAGTAATAAATTAATAATGTATTTTATTTAAAATAATCACAATAGTAGAACACGCAAATAATGTGTTTTTTTTTATAGGACTGATATAGTTTTATTGATTATTTAATTTTGAATACTACTATGAATATAGTATTTAATCTATACTTTAGAATTCACATAATTATAAATATAAAACAATATTATTTTATTACCCATATTTTTATTTAATTAAAAAAAAATAAGAATATAAATTTATTATTTTTTTTTTCATTTTTGTTTGATTTTTTTTTATTTATAACTTTTTTGCATGTTCTATATTGTGCTTGCTTTAAATAAAATATATTATTTATTTATATCTTATATTTTTATTTTATTAAAAATATTAAATAAAGTCAAATTATTACTTATATTTTAATTTGGTTGATTTATTTAATTGAAAGTTCGATTTAGTTTTTTTTTGCAAGTTATATTATTGTGATTATTTTAAATTAAAATACATTATTGATTTATCACATATGTTTTCATTTGATTAAATATATTGAATACGGTAAATTTGCAAGTTTAGTAAGATTTGTTTGCAAATTCTAAATATATAATACTAATGTGATAATATTATGATAATTATACCAAATAGAAAATATTTCTAAAAAAAGATTCTCTATTTATAGAATTTTTATATATTAAGCCTAATGGATACAAGTTTAGTAAGATTTGTTTGCAAATTCTAAATATATAATACTAATGTCATAATATTATGATAATTATAGCAAATAGAAAATATTTATAAAAAAAATTCTCTATTTATAGAATATATATATATTAAGCAAAATAGATAAAAATTTACTAAAATGGTGTTTATATGAAATTAATAAATCTTAAACATGAACCGGAAGACTTCCCAAAAAGTCTTACGGTGAACAAACGAAAAAAAATGTGAACCGGAAGACTTCCAAAAAGTCTTCCGGTGAACAAATGAAAAAAATATGAACCACGGTGAACAAATGAAAAAAAATTATAAATTTTTATATGAGGATATTTTGGTCCAAAAAATTTTAGTGTAAGGGTATGGGTATAATTGTAGGGGTATGAAGTAAAATTTTCCTGTTTTCTTTACTTCCTTTTTTGGTATTTGATTGGGCCGTACAGGGCAATTTTGGAGGGGCTCAAGACCCCCTAATGGTTCATGCACCCCTCTGATTGTGCCAAGCAACATTTTATGGGTGATGGGCTTTCCATAGCCCAAATGATCCCTCCTTTTTATTAATAATATGTACATCCCTCTCAATAGGACGCACCCCCTGTTCCTTTTCCTGTTCCTTTTTGTTAGATTTTTTTAGTTTTTTTAAATTTTTTTAAATTCTATGAACCAAATAGTTTGACATTTGTTTTACTATTTAGTAAGTCACTCTCGATTTTATTTTTTATATTTTAAATTTTGTCTTTTTCTCATTTTTTATTTTATCTGTTTTATAAATTTTTGGTCGATGAAGAGACCTCCAAAATTATTATTTGTCAAATTATTGATAAATAATAATTAATTCGAGACCAATTTTCTTTTCACCTTTTCATTTTCGATTTTATTCATTTTTATCGTTTTTTAGTCAATGACGAAGCAAACAAAGTCACCGTTAGTCAAACTATTGATAAATGGTGACTAATCCGAGACCACCTTCTTTTCTCTTTCAATTTCTTCTTCATTTTCAATTTTATTGAATTTTTTCGATCTATGAAGTCTTTCGATTCGTAAACATCGATTTATCAAAGTTGATAATCTTCACAATGTCAAATCTATGGAAATGGTCATTTGGGTCATTTTCTTTACTTTGGGATCGTGATAGGCTACCTTCGATTAATCGACATGAGTTTATGATTAAGACGAGATCCCACTCTTTTTGGTCCATGCGACACGATTTAATTGGAGAATGATCCTATATCATTTCTCTATCTTGTTTTTAACACATATATCAATTTACGCGACCTCCTATAGTTTGACTTTTATCATAAGTCGAGCTACGACGGTTTAGCGTTACATTTCGCCCCGATTCAATTCACAAATCAAACTAACGACTAACTTTACTTTCTGTCAATATATAACTGTTTTATTTTCAGTCAAATATACTCTTGATTTAAATTCAGTCATTACATCTTGTTCATATTATTGTGGATATTATCTTGATTTATCTTGTCATATTATTCATAATTGTCATATTCATATATATTGTATTCATCCTTTATTCACATGTATTCGAAAATACTTAATAAATGATCGAAATGTTAAAAGCCTAAATTGGTGGACTGTTGAATCATTGGACTTTGTCAGGTACCCTAGCTTGGAGTTGTGCCCAAATTTCGCTCAAGGCTTAGTTTAGAACACATTGCACACACACGGATTTCTCTTGGGCTACCTGACAACGAGACCTTTTATTTTGTGCAATCTCGTGTAATTTACATGTACCCCTCCCCCATTCCGATGTATGTTTCGTATTTCTTTGATTGTGGTTTATCTTCTAAGAGCACCCTTAGGGACTAGCGTAGATTAATCTATTTTCAAACTAATTCTCGATTCGTCATCGAGCCATTTTCAAACACCTCGTAAGTCGAATGCTCGTCTGCATTTGCCATCAACCTATTTCACACACTTCATCGTGGTTTCGATATTTGGGAGAACCCTCAGGGACTAGTATCATTTCTCACAACCTAACCCTTGATGCGTCATCAAGCCGGTTCCATTTTCAATCCAAACCTTCGACTCGTCGTCGAGCCATTTCTCAACCTATTTCCATTCCACCACGGTTTTGCATGCAAATATAAGTCAAACCCTTGATCCAACATCAAGAGGATTTTCTCAATAAACTATTAATCAATTAACAAATATTTGATTCCTTTCAAGGTGAAAATAGGGGAATTGAGCCTTTGATATCCCTTCAGTTGTTTGGATGCGAGTTATCTTACTCGTTTGTAAGCAAGTGACGCCTCTAAATAGCATTAATAACCCGATAACTTTCAACCATCGTCCAACCACTCATCATTTCAAACACCATTCAGACGCAACTTTGTTTTCAAGGTGAAAAAAAGAGAGAGAGCCAAGTATTTGACTCTTTATCCTGATTACTTGGGTCCGAGGAGCCTTTTTTAAGCTTCGATTAATCGTCATCCGTACCAACTTCAAACCAATTCAAACTTTGTCACTTTTCGTGGTTGCTACCACGAACTACGAACACTCTGATTCTTTATTCTAGTCTGAATGTAAGATACGTAGGCACAAGATTGTGACGATCTTTGCGAGCACATTTCTATCCATCTTCCGTTTCCCCCATCCTTTCCTGTTGTCGAACTACGACACTCTGATTTCTCATTCTCGTTCAAGTGAGCATACGTAGTCATAAGGGCCTCATTCCTTGGCGAGCATCCTATCTTATAACCACCTATTTCCCCTTAGCATCATTATCCGTTTACCCTATCGAGTCGCCTTTAGTATTGAGAAGAGAACAACTAAGCTTAGTCATCACTCGGTACAATTTGAATTAAGAGGTTTCCATTGAGTACAACGGACGTGATGGGTGTTACTACCTTCCCCTTGTGTAACCGACTCCCGAACCCGGAACATCAGGTTGTGACGGTCGTGTTCCTTTCGTCTTAAGAGGTTTTCTCAATATTTTCCTTTCTCGTTCATTCGAGATAAATAAAGTTCGGTGGTGACTCTGTCGAATCGCATTATCGCGCCTTTCGCGCGAGGGTCACGTTTTTCGATTTACGATTTTTTGAGGTGCGACAGTAGGATGTTGTATCCCTAAAAATTTATGAAGTATCAAATCACTTTATATCTTTATTCCTCATAAAGATTAATTAAACAATGGAATAATTAAATTGATCACTTCAACAACACTAAGGCCTTACGACACATAACCTCCACAAAACTCGTGGTTCAACACAAATTGGAAACAAGATACGTAACAAATGAAAAACAA